GGCGCTGGAAGCCCGCTTTCTGTGTCCGCTGTGCTCCGGCTAAGCACTCCCCGCCCTCATTCAGTCCCTTTCCCCCACGCCCCCTCCCTGCCCGGTTATTGGTCCCCGGCCCCGGGTGTTGGTCGTGCAGCCCGGGGCTGGGAGAGGGCGTACGGGCGGGGGACCGGCGTCTGCCGGGCGGGAGGAGGCGCGGGGAGGATGCGGTCTCCCGGGAGGGGAGGGCGGGAGCGGGCTGGGCTGCGTGAGGGCGGCCGGGCGGCTGACTGCCCTCCGCCGTTCACGTTGGTCGCTTCCCCGGTGCCCGGCCCGCCGGCGCGAGCGAGGCTGAGTGAAAGATGCCGGCAGAACCATCGTGCTAACTAATACCGCGTTATTTCTGTCTTCTCTATTGCACCTTAAACAGTTCGCGTTCTGTTTATTGGCGAGATTTTCATTTCTACAGCAAACCAAGTGCAACAGGTTTTCCTTTTTTTTTTTTTTTCTTTTTTGGTCTTTCATTTCTATGTCTCTGAATCTTACCGAAAATACGGTAGTATTTGGTGTCTGCCCTAATTCATATTTAAAGGTTGTGGCTGTTCCATGCAACTCTCTTGTATGTGATTTTTCTTCTTTATTTCAGGCCCCTCCAAGGCATTCCTTGCTCACAATGTATAGAACAAAAGTCAGTTTGAAAGACCGTCAGCAACTTTATAAACTGATAATTAGTCAGCTGCTATATGATGGATACATAAATATTGCCAATGGCTTGATAAATGAGATAAAACCACAATCGGTCTGTGCACCATCTGAACAACTGCTGCACCTAATTAAGTTAGGTAAGCTGGAATAAAAACCTAGCGTAAAAGTCCAGTTTCTAAATCCCCGGCTTAAATCCTTGTGAATTAAGAGGTTAGTGTTACTGAAAAGACATCTTTTATGCAAAGGTTGTGTCTAGTAATAGCATAACATTTTTGTATATTTAGACACAGCCTTTGCCTCTGTGGCTTTTTTTGAAGGGCATTCTAGTTCTATGTTTCTGTCTTTAGTGGGCATTAAAACAGATCACTGAGTGTTGTCAAAATCTGTTTGTTTGAACTTCTTGTAACATGTAAGAATACCTGGCCAGGGTCCTGGGTGACTGGCAGCCTTCTAAAAATACGCTCCAGTAAATGGGATCACTGAGTCCACAGACCTAATAGAAAACTGACCCACGCAGTTCTCTGCCAACTTTAGAAATATTTTCTATATGATTCTTCCTGACGGTGTTGGAAAGGGAGCAAGCCCTTCCATTGGCAATCTTCACTAGCCTTTATATATCAGTCTCAAGCAAATAAGCTTCACGGTCTAGGGTCTCAGCAAAGGTATCGTCTGTTCTCTCTCTGTGTATCTTTCTCTCTGAAAGTACATCTGTGCCGCAGTATGTAGTCAAAATGCCTGAGCTGCTGTTGAAGCAAGCTGACTAGGTTACTGGAAGAGGTCTAGCCATAACATCATGTCTTCTCTGTATTGTAACTGAACTGGTTCTGCTGCCTGAACTAGTTGAGTTCCAAGAGTATAAATATGTGAAGTCTTGTGTCTGTTTGAAATCAGAGTGCTAGACTTGCAATTTGTAGATGAAAGCAACAAAAACTTTTCTATCACATTTGATCAGTTGATGATCACAGTTGGGCACATAGCTGAAAATTCTCGTGTCTGGCCTGTTACCACTTCCAGTGCTGAACTGTCTTTGTTCTGTAGATGCATCCTGGAAATAAAAAAAATTAAAAAAAATTCTGTAGAGTGGGTGTGAAAAGGAGTAAAAATTTTCATTTACAATGCTGGGATAGCTGTGGGGTGTGGTTTTTGGTTTTGTTTTTTTTTTCTTCAATGCAATAAAACAGAAAAGAAAAGAATCAATAAATGCTTCAGTTTTTTACTTCAAATCTCATGTAATGATGTTGGGGCTTGTTTCTCCCTCCGTGAAAAGCTGACTAGAGGCCTGTCAGTGGCTTCAGTAACTGATTGTCAGTGCATTTATCAGTACTTACCATCCTACAACATTTGCTGGATGTATTTCCACAGTTAGTTTTAAGAGCTGTATTCTGCTCCAGCATAGCCAAAGTACCTCTCATTTCTCAGGAGAAGTATGGCTGTATAACTAAATTTGCTCTGCTAGCTTAGCTTTGTTCAACGGGGGCTGCCTCTCCTAAAACCTGTCTCATAGCTGTTACAGAAGTCTGTAGCATAGATCTGGCCACAGCCTATCTGTCTAAGGAGAAGGTTAACCTGGTTTAAGTGCATCAACTTCTCTCTTTTCAGGAATGGAGAACGATGACAGTGCTGTTCAATATGCAATTGGACGGTCAGATACGGTAGCTCCAGGCACTGGAATTGACTTGGAATTTGATGCAGATGTACAGACCATGTCTCCCGAGGCTTCTGAATATGAGACTTGTTATGTCACATCTCATAAAGGACCGTGTCGTGTAGCTACGTATAGCAGAGACGGACAGTTAATAGCTACAGGATCTGCTGATGCCTCAATAAAAATTCTTGATACAGAGAGAATGTTGGCCAAAAGTGCTATGCCTATTGAGGTAAAATATGA